TTCAATTACGTGGGGGAAATGTCCATCAAATATCATATAGTTAAGAAAAACTATATATTACAAAACGATATTATAGTACAGTTATCATATCATAGAACAGTGTATTTCTAGATGAAATTGGAATAATGCAGGGCAGAGGTTAACAGTGATTCTTTCTGGAAGCCGGGATTATATATGATTTTAATTTCATTCTTTGTGCTTACTAATTTTTCTTTGAAATTTTAAAATTTAGCTTTAATTACCCAAGCACTAATATAGTCCCTCCTTGCAGGGAATCACTGGTTACAGTTTTCTGGTATTTTTTAGAGCAGTGATTCTCAACCTTCCTAATGCCGTGACCCTTTAATACCTTATGTTGTGGTGACCCCCCAACCATAAAATTATTTTTGTTGCTATTTCATAACTGTAATTTTGTTGCTGTTATGAATCGGGCAACCCCTGTGAAAGGGTTGCTCGACTCCCAAAGGGGTTGCGACCCACAGGTTGAGGACCGCTGTGGAGTCTTTCCTGGGTGGCTCTGGAACTCCACGCTGCTTTCTTCGCACTAAGTTATCACTTGCGGGTCACACGGTGGTTGCTTTAACCTTTTTTTATTTGAACTACAACTTTATTCTAACAAAAAGGAGTGGGAACGACAGTCAACAAACAAAACGTCACACTGAATATTGTGATGTGACTGCAGCAGTCTTGTATTTGAGTTTCAAGAAAGAAAAATGCGTTCCCAAACAGCTAGATATGCAGGTCCCCCCCAAAAGAGAGAAGGTTTTAACTGCCACCCACGCTCACCCCGAAGCCCATTCATCTCCTTCAACATCGCAAAGATGAGCGCGTTCTGCCGGGCTCTATAATCAGAGAGGCAAACACGCTGCACCACTGACGTCACAGGACAGTTGCCTATGAAACCAGACTTCTGACGCTGGGCTCCAGCTTTCTTCTCTCCCAGTCATCATCCTCATCCGGAGAGCGGTTGTCTGCGCAGCCTCTAAGTCATGCTCACCTTGTGCTGCCAAAGCTGGGTCCCTAACAACTTCTGGTGGTGCAGGACCAGGCACAGCAACAACCCCCAAGTTCGGACTTCCAATGAGTTTTCCAGCAAGCCAAGGAAGGGCTTTTCCACGTTGTCGTCACCTTTGGCAGCAATGTCATAGTACTGAAGGTTCTTCTTTCACTGGAAGACAATGGACGTTGCCTTCACTTTCCAGTCCTTAATGTCCACTTTGTTGCCACGCAGCACAATGGGCATGTTTTCACATCCTCAAACCAGATCCCTATGCCAGGCAGGCACATTCTTGTAGGTAACCCTTGAGGTATGGCGAACATTATAATGGCACACTAGGCTCGAATATCATGGCCATCTCTCAGGCCTCCACATTTCTCTTGACCAGCCGTGTCCCACACGTTGAATTGAATAGGTCCTCTGTTAATGTGGACCACAAGGGGATGGACCTCAACGCCTGAGGTCCTATATTCTTCTCGAATTCACCGGTCAGGTGGTGTTTTACAAATGTCATTTATCCAGTACCACCCTCACCCACCAGCACCAGTGAACTGGACTTGGGGTTCTCCTTGGGCGGCCATCGTGATGGATCCTGCAGAGACTTCTCCGGGTGGCGTCTCTCAATCATTTTTTTTTTCCAGAAAGTGTGAGGCCCCCATGATTGTCAGTTAGTAAAGACCTCCTCTCCCGTGCCAAACCAAGAGCAAACCCAAACCGGCAAAACAAAACAAAACAAAAAAACCGAACAAAAAGCAGGTTGAAATTTTAAACAGGATTTCATTTCATTGATAGGTTATATTGCAGATAACTGATACCTTAAGACTATTGAATTTTCCTGCCTATATTAGCACAGTGCATCTGGCCACTTATTTAGATATTCTTTAAGTTCTCTTATCATTGTTTTGTAATTTTGAGGATAAGAATTATATATATGTTTTGTCA